TTTTTCTTCGTCTTTTTCTTCTTCTATTTTCTTTGTCTATTTCTTCATTTTATTCTTCTTTACGTTTCTAGCGTATTTTTTTTTTATTTCTTCTCTTTATTTTTTTCCTTTTTTTTCTTTCTTTCTTTTTTTCTTCTTCTTGTCTTTTTCTTTTTTCTATTACTTCTTCTTTTTCATCACCTTCTTTTTACGTTTATACCGCTCTTTTTTTCTTTCTTTCTTTCTTTCTTTCTTTCTTTCTTTCTTTCTTTTTTCTTTTTTTTTTTTTTTTTCTTTTTTTTTTTCTATCACTTCTTCTCTACCTTTTTTTTTTCACCTCTCTCTTTTTCTTCTTGGATTTTCTTTTATCTACCTTCTTTTTTTTACCTTTCTTTATATTTATACCTTTCTTTCTTTCTTTCTTTCTTTCTTTCTTTTTCTTTTATCTACTACTTCTTCTTCCTCCTTCTCCTCTACTTCTTCTAACCTATATATTATCTTACTTTTCATCTTTCTCATAATTGTTCCTTTTCCCACTCCTCTTACTTCTTTTACAGCAAACTCAAACATCTTCCCCTTCCTTCATATTTTGTTAGGCGACGAAAGTCAGCCATAAATCACAGCCTTAAAAAAAAAATCTATAAAACAGACAATAAATCAATACGAGCTGACGACAAAAATAAAATCGAATTTCCTGGTCAAGTTACAAGAGTATTTGGTATCAACTAGAGATGGACAATCGTAGAAACAACTTTTATCAAGAAGTGACTCCTGATTTCGACGATAAAACAAGTTAGGTCGTCTGCTTAGAAAAAGAATGTCATTGTCGCTTCACGGCTGAACGCCATGATCGGATTGATAGTTGATTGTTTGTAGCTTCAGGTTATAAAGCCCGGGACAGATTTCATGAGAAGTTAGCGAAGACCTCAACGAAAAAGAAACGACAAATAACTTGGCCTCAGAAATTAAATCCACTGTTGATATTAATAACCATTGGTTTTCCCCTATCTTTTATTTTTTGAAATAGCTTTAAACTAGCATTCCATGCTGACTTTTAATCTAGTTAAGCTACAAAACTAAAGGGATTTCTGCTCCAGTATAGAAAACAGAAATGATAATTTTGAAGAAATAACTGAATTCTTCAATTCATTCATTGGAACTTCAAAACTTCACTTTTCTGATTCGGGCTATAAATCCAGTACCGGCCAAAAGACCGTTTTGGACCGAAATTCTAGTTCTTCAAATCACAAGCTCCGTGGAACTTCAGTTGAGTTGAATTTGTTATTCCAATGCGTTTTTTAATTTTTTCTTTCATATTCCGCCATCTGTTATAACACTTACCGAATATATACATTTTTGTATTGATTCTGATGATTCCAATTCGTAACTCGCATCTTGAGATGTTCCTCTTGCTAAAGACCATATATTTCGTTTTGTCTTTATACAATTGGCGTTTAGTTATTTCTGGATTCTCGAATTACGCTATATTAAACATTAGCGTAAAAGCTGCATTCCGTACAGAATTTTAAGCAAGATCGGGCAGAGGGCTAAATGGGCATCCGACCCAAAACTAAAGGGACCTCTGGTTCAGCTTAGAAACCACCAATGATAATTTTGAAGAAATAATTTTGAAAAACTCCATGGAACTTCAAAAACCTCACTTTAATTTTCAGTCCAAGAGAATTTGGACCGAAATTTTGGCCGAAATTCTAATTCAGGTCGAAAATTGAGTTCTTCAAATCACAAACTCTGTGGAATTTAAAATGAGTTGAGTTCTTCAAATCACAAACTGAAAAAAAAAAAAAATTCAAAACCTCACGTCACGAAATCTCTCACTTTCTATTAAGCAGTGAGACATATTAATAGAGAGTGACATTTAGAGAGAGTGACATGTAGAGAGAGTGACATTTAGAGAGAGTGACATTTCAGTGCATGTAGAGAAGGACATTTGAGTGACATTAGAAATGACATTTAGAAACTCTTTGGAGTGACATTAAAATGACATTTGAGTGTTTTTGAGTGACATTTTAAAAGTGACATTTAGAGAGAGTGACATGAGAGAGTGACAAAGAAGTGACAAAAAGTGAATGTAGAGAAGTGACATTTAGAGAGAGGACATGTAGAGAGAATGACATTTAGAGAGAGTGACATTTCTGACATTTAGAGCAGACATGTAGAGAGAGTGACATTTAGAGAGAGTGACATTTAGAGAGAGTGACATGTAGAGAGAGTGACATTTAGAGAGAGTGACATTTAGAGAGAGTGACATTTAGAGAGAGTGACATTTAGAGAGAGTGACATTTAGAGAGAGTGACATTTAGAGAGAGTGACATTTAGAGAGTAGAAATAGTTACAGAAAGAGGTTTGAGAGAAAGAAAAAGTGCGCACTTTAAAAGCTAGCTCCTCCGGACCAAAACTAAAAGGTCCTCTGGTTCAGCTTAGAAACCAGCAATGATAATTTTGAAGAAATAACTTTGAATTCCTCAATTCACTCCATGGAATTTCAAAACCTCACTTTAACTCTGATTCGGGCTATAAGTCGAATTCCGACCAAAAGATCGATTTGGGCCGAAATTCGTGCGAAATTTGAGTTCTTCAAATCACAAACCCTTTTGAATTTCAAAACTTCACGTTACCAAACCTTTCATTTTAACTCTGATTTCTTGGCATTTTGAAGAAATAAAAGTTTTGGTGATATTTAAGACTGAATTTAAAAGAAACATTTTTGAATTCACTAATTTTTTTTTGTGTTAATTTAAACTCCCATCGACTTACATGCTGATATCCTTGGGAAAGGTATGAATTCTTTTTTCCCTCCAGCTATGGGTAACATAAATAGCAGGACAGGCCGGGTTCTATAGCCTTGGATAGCAACTGGTCTACCACAGAAAGAAATGGCTACCTACTGCGGGAAAAAATCTGCCTCGTTAGTCATATATCGAAAGATACATGATCACCTAAGCGTGTATCACTCATGGCACATAACTGATGATAATAAATTTAAAACTTTTAAAACCACTAACTTTTTTCAGTTGTTTAAAATTTGAATGTATCGGACACAAATCCCAGTGCTGGAAGTTCAAGCACCACATGAAGAGTAGATTTCCATTCCCGGGATTATCCCGATTATAACAAGGTATAATATCTCTATGCATAGCAAGTGTAGCCAGAGTTATAAGGGTTTCCGACACACGGACGGACAAAGGGAATTTACCGTTTATTTATTCCGAAGATACAGTCGCTCTCTCACAGACGCGCCGTCGCCTCCCTCTGTCTTTTTTACAAATACTTTCATGGTAATTGCTCCGATGAGCTGCTTTCACTGGTTGCCAGACTTCATGAATTCAAGCGCCCTACGAGGCTGGCATCCCGCTCTCACCCTTTCACTGTCGAAACATTTAAATGTAGCCGTCTCTTCTACTCCAATAGCTTCATATCTCGCACCTCTCGCCTGTGGAACTCCCTTCCCTATTCCTGTTTCCCTGAGAGCTATAATCTCCAACTATTCAAATGTAATGTCAATCGACATCTCCAGTTGCCTTGATCTATCCACTACCCTTCTCCTCATCCTTTCTTCTATCACTCCTATCTGATCTTGCTCTAAATTTTCTGTAACCCCTTGCGTCCTAGTGGCTTCCCGCCTTGCTTGGGGTGAAACGCTTAAATAAAATAAAAAAAAAAATAAAAAAAGAAAAGAGCTAAGATCCCTGGCTTCAGACTAGGATCAATGTGTAGTAACAGTTCCGCCTCAGGTTTATTCTTCTCGAGTTGGGTTTTGGTTTTAGAAACGTGGCATAAAATTAACGAAACCTGATCGTCGAAATTCTGAGCACCCCTCCATTGCACAAATAACTATATGGCTTTGTAGAAAGGCGGTCCTGTGTCTGATTAAAATAAACTACTATTACTATGAAATGCCCGGGTAGTGTAACTGTTATCGGCGCGAATAATGGAAAGGCATGAACCCGACTTTTCTCTAGGCAGATTTGCGTTAAAGAGCAAAGTGGATTGGGGTCTCTAGCCTTGAGTGGCAGCCAGTCTAAGAGAAAGAAAACTCTGAATTCAAACCGTGGAGACAGAAACAGGAAACCATTCCATTTTGTTTCCTCGGCGATTCACAGATAATAAGGAAAAAGAAGATGTGGGGAGCAATGATCGCCTATATCCTGAAGGCATAGAGAGAAATAAAAACATAAAGTCTACCACCAACCACCCTTTTGACCCGAAATGTAGGCGTCCGTGTTGAGCCTGTGAGAAGATGAATGGAGGCATAAAGTCGTCATCACTAGTGATCATTCCAAACACATTCGTAATCACCATTAGACTCATCCAACTCTTTCGAATCCTCTGCACTGTCCTCAGATTAACACCCAAACATTCTGAAATGTGCGTATTGGAGCGTCCGGCGTGAAGAAGATTCCAAATTCTTGGCGGTGTGAATTGCGTCATGGTGCTCTTTTTTCTCACAGACGGTGCCCAACTGACCCTACTATACTGTGCTGTCGACGAAATCAAAAATCCAAAAACGCGCATGCGCGAAATTAAAAATATAAATAGCGACAATTTATCCATTGCACCCAGTAGATGTCATGCATGGGGCCAAACCCGTTTAGATATATCTAAACTGCTTGCTGTATAAAATTCCTTTTTTTTTTCAGATCAATGTTTAAAAATGGCTTTCGGGCGAATGAAGCCTTCAGGTCTTAGAGAGAACCATCTTTCTTCGAACCTCGTGGACTAGCGCTACAGAATCACAAACAAACAATTGTACAAAGTAACAGAAACTACATTACTGGATGATTTTCAACTGCTAAAATGGATAGCACATGTAACTCAAAGTGAGAAGAACGTCATAATCAAGATGTTGACATTCCACACTACTTCAAACAAAAGGTTAGAAAGGAAAGTCCGCATCAGTACTCGAAAGAGCGATACCAGTAAGCAGAGTTGAGAAAACTATTTCCCAGATGATTTATTTTCGGAGAAAGAGTTTATGAATTTCAACCGGCTGTCACACTGTTTGCTGAATGAAAGCCGAATATTTGCACACAAGGAAACGGCTAATATTACCATTACCATCTCGGTCAGAATATCAAGATTTCAGGTTGACAGTTCATTTCGTTATGACGTGGAAATTTGTGATTATTTCTACCCTGATGAGGAGCGTCTTGGTTTAAATGACACGACTAGTATAGTGGGAACACATTTTTTCTTTATCAGCTGTCATCTTTTTTTGTGTCGCCTTTTCTCATGTAGACGAAGTGATTTAGGTCCTAGAAAAATTCAACATCACGTCACATTTCAACTTGTAAGCAAGTGAGGAAACAACCCTCATGAAGACAATTTCACTGAACTATATATATGTGTGCGTGCGAGTGTGTGTGTGTGATTTATATACATATTATTTATAGGACATTTTTTATATTATATATTTATTTATATATGATATATTTAAATATTATATATGTGCAGTACTTATTGGAAAGCGATCAATATCAATGATAGAGCTAACATGCTTAGTTGCATAGATGTGAGTTTGTAACCCTAGATTTTTATGCTTTTGCGATCCTCAGACATACATACATATATATATATATATATATATATATATATATATATATATATATATATATATATATATAAATTCATGAATCATTCATACAAAAAAAACAAATATAGAGGTTAATGATTTAAATGGCGAGAATACATAGTTGCAAACAATATAAATAACGTTGGTCATATGTTGGATCCATGGTATATATATAAACACACACACACATATATGTATATGTTTGTGTTTCTGTAAATTGTTCGGACTCTCGTCCTCATTTCTGTTGCCATATTCCCGACGTTTCAGCCATTGTACACTCCGGCCTTCTTCAGGTGATTGGAATTTCGAACAGAACTCTTTATTTCGTCCACCGGGTTAGATTGTTCTGCGACATACAGAAGAGGCATGACACGTGGAAATAGAACAATCTACACCAATAGACGAAAAAAAAAGTGTTCAGTTTGAAATTCCAATCACCTGGAGAACGTCGTGAATATGGCAATAAAAATGAGGACAACAGTCCGAACAATATATATATATATATATATATATATATATATATATATATATATATATATATATATATATATGAGTGTGTGTGTACGCGCGCGTGCGTGTGTACACCAAAGCAGCTTTCTCTATATATTTTCAGTTTCATCCACATCAGCTTGGAGGGAAAAATAAACAAAGATTGAATTGTCAAAAAATTCTGTATCAAGAGCAGAACGTCGGCTTTCTCACTCCCCACCCTCTTTTTTGGTGGCGGTGTGTGATTGGCGGGGCGGTGGAGGGCCTAATTTCTCCCGTGTTTGCTATGGAGACTAAACACAGATCCAAAGGGTCCTGTGCGCAAATAAAATACTCACGCAAAGCAGGAACATTCTAGCAAACCGTTATTTTCCAAACAATGAATGAATAAGTAAAAGACGGGTGGGGGATGATTTGTGCCTTGGGGCGAATCTAACCTACTAGGGACAAAAAAACACACTTTTTACGGTGGGCTGGTTGAGCGGAGGGGGGGTGAATTCTGTCAAGACTCCACAAGAATGAATGAAATTAAATGACATTCTTATTATTTTTGTAGATTTTATGACGGAAGTCAGCTTTATTCGTCGAAGCAAGAATTTTTTTACAACTTTGGCATTGTCATGGAATACAGAAGTGTTAGTATTGGATTTCTAGTCTTTGAAGGATTATTGTCGAATAATATCTATCTATCTATCTATCTATCTATCTATCTATCTTTTTATCATTTACTTTATGTATGTTTGCATCAATCTATCATTATGCATGGAATCTATCTATCTATCTATCTAATGATATGCATGTATATCTATCTATATGTATTTATGTATGTCTGAATATCTATCATTTTATATTCTTCTTAATCTATCTATCTATCTATCTATCTATATCTATTCATCTAGTCTTCTATCTATCTATGGTTATTATCTATTATCTATCTATATCTATCTATCTATCTATCTATCTATCTATCTATCTGAGGCCACTCATTACCTATCTATTTATCTTTATGTATGTATATGCATCAATCTATCTGTGTATATGAATGCATGCATGCATGTATGTATGTATGTATGTATGTATGTATGTATATCTATCTATCTATCTATCTATCTATCTATCTATCTATCTATCTATCTATCTATCTATCTCAGGCTGCTCATTACCTATCTATCTATATGTATATCTATCTATCTATCTATCTATCGATCTATCTATCTATCTATCTATCTATATCTGAATATTCATATCTATCTATCTATCTCTGATGAGTTGGGATCAAATAGTGATCGGGATCCGACTGGATGATAAGAGGAAGAACAATTAGGAAATATTTATCAATCTAACATGTTTCACTTTTATCAAAATCTTCTTCAGAGAATGAGATATGGAGAATAGGACGAAAGAATTTCTTTTATGTTTTACTTTTGTGTTTTTTCATTGGTCAATAATGTATCACGTGAATTCGACTTTTTGCAACCAACGTCGTGGCGTTCACGAATCGAGAGTTTGGTTTGGTTTATTTTGTTTTACGGCATATCTACCTCAATGGGTTATTTAATGCTGACGAGAGTTTTATTGCTGGTAATATTTTTTCCAAAAGTGTATTGCTGGTAATATTTTTTCCTACAAAAACCCATTAATGACAATAATTTTTTTTACAAAAATGTATTGCTGGTACTAAAACCTATTTTTACACTTTAATACTATTTTGACCCCAGTTTGGGCTTAACCAGCTGCCCATAGCCTGGAGCCCAACTGGCGCCACCACCTCGGGCCAGGGTGGACCTGAGAACAACAGCAACCAAGAGGCGGCTTCACGCTCCTCAAAGCCTCCTAATCAGTGGCTCCGCTGTCGGATGTAGTCTATCGTCATACCCAGGACGGCCGAATCGACAAGCAACGCGTCCATCCGAAGCTTCCAGAAATGAACGGATTGCATACACACCCCCGGAAAACCGTAAATATTTCCATATATATGTATGGTAGATCCGACGTACCTTAACCTACTCTAGCATTACCGATCAGGCAAGGTCCGAACAGATCCTTTAAGATCTTGTTTGATCGGCATGTATGTAAGTGTATAATAATTCTAGTTTGTCTATGTGGGCATCAGAAGATAATATATATTCGTGTGTGCGTGTGTGCGCATATGTCTAGTAGATATTACGTTTGTTGTTTTCTTTGCATTTCGATTTGGAAACCATTTTACGTACATGCTATTAGATTATTTAAGAATGGTTTCACTAAAAGTTGGTGATGTAATATTATGTTTTTTGACGTGTGTTTATAATTGATAATATTATTAGTAAGCTTTCAAAGAACTTTCACCTTAATGAATTATGTTCTTTTTTAATTAGGGCGGCATTAGTAAAATCAAAGTTATGGGCAGTTTTTCTTCCATATATATATATATATATATATATATATATATATATATATATATATATATATATATATTAGTGGTTAATATACACATACGTATGCAAAATATATAAATATATATACATACATGTATATACATACATATATATTTTTTTGAATAAAAAAAATTCCAAGAGGATAGAATCCAGGTAGAACTCAATGTCCAGGACAGAGTAAGGATATAATAAAAAGGCTTAAAGACTAATATTCTATGGTCATAATTTATTCCACTGGAATCGTAAATACGATCCAATTCATCAGACCTACAAATTCAAAAGGTCTGATGAATTGGATCGTATTTACGATTCCAATGGAATAAATTATGACCATGGAATATTAGTCTTTAAGCCTTTTTTTTATATATATATATATATATATATATATATATATATATATATATATATATATATAAAGAAAGAACAGTAAGATATATAATCTTTAAATATACAAATAGAAAAAAAATGCCGTAAGAATTTTTGCCGTTAACAATAAAATTTTAAAAAATCCAGACGACATGCATTTAACGGATGTTAGATTTCATTGAAAAATACATCCCTACCCCTCCGAACCGTAACAAATAACTGATACATCAAAACATAGACATAATGAACATACAGACACCCCTGTCTAGTGAAAGTGGTTTTATCTGTAACCTTGGAAACATGAATTATGTTTTTAGCTGTGCTGTGTCTTTAAAACCCAGTAATTTTAAAAGTTACTCCAAAATTCGCTTGAGGATGAAATGGAACTAATGTCTTTAATTTAATTACAAAATTAAATTCGGGGCTTTTAGCTTCCATTTTTGAAACATGGTTAGAACTGTGTAGCGAAAAAAACATATCAATTAATATATATATATATATATATATATATATATATAGCAAGACCAGATGTGACAGCAATATTCAAATCAAGAACGAATTGTAATATAATATGACATTATAATATAATTCCAAGCAATCTTCATAGGAAAAGACCAAACAAAACCTAAATGCTGCAAAAAACAGTCGGTTCATTCTCTCACCCCAGAAAATATCTGACTCCTTCTGCCATGAAATTTGTCTGAAGAAGTTATTTTTCGGAATTAAGCGTCTCTTGTGCTTTTATTCGTTTGCGTTTGTCCATCCATACACGTTAAGAAACATTAATGCTGATTGGCTTAGAAAGAACATTAAATGTTTAAATTAAATATTAAAGAAGAATAATTGCATGTTTATAAATATTCAAAATGATGACGAATTCAAAAAATTAAGTACCAAACTGACCTCTCCGGCTCCCTCTCTGCCATCAATTTTATGGCGCGGGTAATGGTTCACGAGGTTAATCTGGTTGACCATTACCACTGACCCGAGTGTCCGATCCTCATTGGGTACCCCGTACAAAATTCGATGTTAAATAATCTAACAAGCGATAATGTCACCAAATCAACCCACCTAAATAAAAAAGGTAGCGGTGAGTGTGGATAGTTTGATTGAGCATTACTACTGGGTAGTCAGTTTGATCCTAACTGTGTGTCTTATACAAAATTCAACATTAGATTATCTAAAATGAACTGGCATGTAAAATTACCAAACTTTTATGATTCATGATTATACTGCTTTTATCATTTTTTTTTATCTGACGACACCCATATTGAAAAGAGTCGAAACGTTGTGAAGAAGAAATGCACTAGATAAGCAATTTTTCGATAATTTGTCAATTTTGGCAAAAACCGTTATGGGTTTAGAAGAATCAATAAATAAAACCAAGAAAATCATTTTTATTTTAATTCTTTATACCGAACTGATTTTGATTTCTTCGGTTCAAGATGTTTTTTTTTACCGTTCCCGTGAAGCGTTTAATTGACAATTTATCAGAGATTATAAGCGAAATACGACTTAATAACCAAGGGATTGGCGAATCATTAACTTGCCTCAAATCAATTGTTCAGGTTGATTATTTTTGGCAAGCAATCGATTTTATATTGAAATGCCTTCCAGGGAAGCGTAACCCAAACTTAAATTGACAAAAAATAAAATTGAAAAATATTATCTACCCACTCCTATGAAGGTAAGTTTGACATAAGATCACAATTAACATAGAGCTCTGCACGTGTACATATAGGAGCCTTTCCTCTTACGATATTGAGTCTCCCCCCCCCCAATGAGACAACATGTGACACAAGGTCGGTTGTTTATTGTGTGTTTCCCGAGCCCGTGGGATCGGCCCAAAAATATGCCCGTTTTAATCCATATAAATGGGTTCAGGGCCGGTTTTACCTCCCCGAAGGAGACTCCACCCTTCGGCGTAGCCTCCTTCGGGTTCCTCTCCGTCCGTAGACAGAGAGTTCAACCGAGCAGTCGGTTCAAAAGTGAACGACTGACTCACTCAACGTGGTACCTCAAGAGCCAAGAAATGATCCTGATCCTTGTTTAATTTTTTTTATTTACTATTGTTCACTTTATAAAGGGCCCAACAGCCACTCAATGTCAAAGGTTAATAAATGAGATTTTTGTAAGTCTGTCCAACAAAGAGGAAGGATTGATAAATTGATTTGTTTGTTTTTTTAACGGCATATCAATAATTTATGGGCCATTTAACGCTGGGGTTTAATTTTCTTGGGAGCTTTGAAGCAATAAAAATATGAATATGTTATTCTGCTTTCACAGTTGAATACATGGTAGATGATACGCAGCTTTTGTGCATATAATGTTTGGGCGGACATAATTACTAGAGGCGGGGATATGCGTGTTTCCTGTTGTGGTTTTGTTGAAGTCATATTTTGGAAAACAGTTTGATTTGTTTAGAAATTGTAGGATATTAGATGTTATGAAAGAATTCTTTCATGTTGCTTGTTTGGTTGGTTGATTTTGCTTGGCGGCATATTAATACCGCTATGGGTCATTTAATTTTTTTTGAACGAAATTTTAATGCTTTTTAACTAGATATTTTGTACATAATTTTATGCTTTCAGAGTAAAGGCAATTTTTTTTTTTTTTTTTTTAGATATGCTGGGTGTAACAGCAAAATTGTCCAAATCGTGGAGAAGTAAAATTGTCGATTTGTTAGATACCGCTTTGAACCGTTGTATCTGAGAAATAATTAAAGATATCTCACCGAGGTCTTTATAACATTATTGGAGTCTATTTATAACAATGTATAATTTCTTTCCAAGCTTCACAGAAAAATCGTGACGAATTCGATGATAAAGGAGCGTGACATGTTCATCATTAATTAATCATAGGTAAGGATCATAAGCTCATGAAGTATTAAAATAAAGTTCAAATATATATATAAATATATATTATATATATATATATATATATATATATATATATATATGTCTTAAAATAATTGTCGGACTTTGTCCATTTCATAATGTGTGACGT